CCCCAAAACCCCAAAACCCCAAAACCCCATGATCTAAAATTTTGCTTATGTTAGTTACTATGCTTAAATAAATACTAATATTATTTAAGACTTTTTTTCTATTTCTTTTACCTTTCTTGATGTCAAGCTTTATACTCCCAGAGGCCAATATTTAACTATAAGAAAAGATGAAACTTGTCCTCTAACCATTTGATGCAGACATAATCAAAGTACTCGAGGAGGTAAGGCAAATAATGAGAACTCGACCAAATGGGTGGATTGCAATGATATTAACTAAAGGTGTTGAGAAAACAAATTCAGATTTGTCTAACAGCTTGAACACCATCAGTATTATTGCAGGTCTTCTCTTAACTGTTTCTTTTCCTTGCATCATTTCACCTCCAGACAAAATTATTGAGTTGGATAATGAAGATTGGGTGAAACAATGCTACTTCGCAGGCATTCTTTCATCTATTATCAGTTATTTTCTGTGTATAATGCTGAATACTATCATGGTAATGAATATATCTGTTGCAAGTAGAGACTCGGATATGATTAGACTTTATATGCGGTTGCATAGAATTCCTTTGATTGCCTATATCATTTTCGGATTGGGCTATTTCTTTCTGGTACTAGCGTTAGGACTATCAACCTACACTATATTTGGATTGAAATCTGCTATTGCATGGACAGTTTTGACGGGGGCAATAGGAGGACTAGTTCCTTTTATACTGAATAATGGGTGGGTATTACATATAGCTCATGTGATAAAGTACTGGCAAAAGAATAACCCTTAGGATTTCCTAGCCAAAATGGAAATGAAAATAAATCAAATCGAACGAGAAAGCTTATTATAGATGAAGGAATACTAGGATTCTTTGTTAAAATATTAAGATAGTCTGAAGAAAGAAAATTGATTTATGAATAGAGATAAAGCTATTAATTTTTATTTCATGTTTAATTTAGAATTTCAATTTTCTAATTAATTATTAATGAAAGTAACTGTGGGGTTTTGGGGTTTTGGGG